ATGTTTATTCTTGCCATCTCCTGTTTGACCACCTCCAGCTTCCCAAGGTTCATAGATCTTACATTCCAGGTTCCTATGCAGTATTTTTCTTTCCAGCATCGGACTTTCCTTTCACTTCCAGGCATGTCCACAGCTGAGCATCCTTTCGGCTTTGGCCCAACCACTTAATCAGCTCCGCTCTTCCTCAGTAGTATGTTGGACGCCTTTCGACCTGAGGGTCCCATCTTCCAGCGTCATATCTTTTAGCCTTTTGTTTCTGATCATAGGGCGTTCTTGGCAAAGATACTGGAGTGGCATTGCCAGTCCCTACTCCAGGTGGATTGCGTTTAGTCAGAACTCTCCACTATGACCTGTCCATCTTGGGTGTCCCTGCACGGCATACCCCTTAGCTTCTCTGAATGACTAAAGCCCCTTCGCCGCAAGAAGGCAGCCATCCGTGAAGGGGAAAACACAGCTAAATTGCATCAAAGACTCCCTAGACTAGAAGGAACAGGGGTTGGTGTTTACTTAGCCCAGCAGACAATCTAAGATTTTAGAAAAGCCCTTTTAAAAAATGGGGGAGTGTGTGGTCTGTGAAGGCCAGAAAGCTGGGGGCTCACAAGTGGCCTTGTTAAAGAATGGTGGACAGGCTGTTGTGGATGATGGAAAACAGCTTTCTCCACCAGGGAATGTGTCAAGATGCTGCCAGTCAGAGTCATATAAAGTATCCTAGCCAGATGAATCGGAGCTGGGGGAAATTCTGGGCTTTTTGGTTATCCGTGGCCATGTTGGCGGTGTAGTGGTGGTGGTTCTGGAAGGGATGGCTGAAAAAAAGCGGGGGGAAAGAAATGTCTCCTGCTGCGGTTTGGACTAGAGCCGGATGCTACCCTTGCAGGGCCTAAAGGCGGCTTTCCTCTTCCCACCCCCTCATCCTTGCCAGAACAATGCGAGCGGGGCCCGTGGAGTCCCTGGAGCCCCTGCAGCAACCAAGGGCGGACGTGCGGCTGCCGGTGGGGCTCCACGGTGAGGGTGCAAGAGGCTCTCAGGAACAGCAAAGAGGATCCCGCCGCATGCCCCGTGCTCAGCGAGTCCAGGAAATGCCGTATGAAGAAGCACTGCCCTGGAGGTAAGTCTTGGGCAAGAAGCAGGATGGGGAGGAACAACCCACTGGGGTCCCTGTGAGGCTATAAATTGCATTTTTTTCCCAGCCTCTGCAGGGGGTACTCTTGGAAACGACTGCCCATGGATATGGGGCCCCTACTCTAATACCAAATATTTCCCCAAGTTACACTTATCTTTGCTAAAATCCCAGCACACTCCCGTGGGGCAGCTGAAGGCACATCTCCGTGGTTGAGAGTCGCCCACCCAAAAGAACAGATCTGTCTGGGTTCAACTGTATCTTGCAGGACGCATATTATTGAAGTCATCCAGAGGAGGGGCAAGATCCGTCCTTGATCCTCCCAGAGTGCAGGAGACACAACGATGGGCTCAAGTGAAAGGAAGTCAGATTTCGGCTGAATCTCAGGAAAAAAAACATCCTAACCGTTAGAGCGGTATGACAATAGATCCCATGACCTCGAGAGGTGGCGAGTGCTCCAGCGCTGAAGGCCTTCAAGAGAAACTTAGACCACCACCTGGCAGATCTCCTTGTATTTGGATTCCTGCCTTGAGCAGGGGGTTGGACTAGATGGCCTTAAGAGGCCCCTTCCAACAGCACTTTTCTATGTTTCTACGATTAGAAAAACAGGAGCAAGCGCCAGAGGTTCTGGGGCCCCCACATGCCCATTCCTGAACCTCAGAGCAGCACATCAACTCCCAAAAACTCCACCCGCAAAATCTTTTTTAAAAACAAAACAAACCCAACTTGGCTTTTAGAAAGTGAAAAAGACCTTCTTACACCTCCTAATGGACAAAACACAGTTTTGGTTTTTTTTTAATGTAATTTTTTTGTGAGGGGATACAGGGTGGCCCCTCAAAATCAAACATTGCCCCTACAAACTCAAGGGGATTTCTCAAAGGAAGTTTTTTTTAAAAAAGGGGGGGCAGAGCTGTTGGGGGTTCCCCCTAGGTTCTATGGGGCTGTGTTTGATCCTACTTTGCTTTCTTCTGCCTTAAGGGCTGAAAGCATCTGATTGTCACAGGAGAAGTGTCCTACACCTCCCAGAGTTTGCAAACTGGCTTGCTGTGTTCGTCACAGAAGGTGAGCCTGGGACTCTCCCTGCAGGTAGGATGGCTGAGTCCAGAAAGCTGGCCTGAATCTTATCTCAGGATCACCTGCCCAAGCTGCCCCATGATCCTGGCTGGCCATGTGTGACCAGAACCACCGCTCACTCTTTATGAGATCACCGTGGCAGCTTCTGCGGTCAAAGTACAATGCAGGATACTGGCCTTACTTGGAATTCGGTCCCCTTTCACTGTTTTAACCCCAAGTTCTTTTCATCCTGCACATAAGAGATCATACAATAGTGAAGTTGGAAGGGGCCTTGAAGGCCATCAAGTCCAACCCCCTGCTCAAGGCGGGAATCCAAATCAAAGCAGATCTCCCAGATGGTGGTCCAATTTTCTCTTGAAGACCTCCAGCGTTGGAGCCCTCACTGCCTCCCCATGAGGTCACGGGTTCCCTAGTCATTTGATGTCGTTGAGTTGTTAAGTCGTGTCCGACTCTTCGTGACCCCATGGACCAGAGCACGCCAGGCCCTCCTGTCTTCCACTGCCTCCCGGAGTTGGGTCAAATTCATGTTGGTCACTTCGATGACACTGTCCATCCATCTCATCCTCTGTCGTCCCCTTCTCCTCTTGCCTTCACACTTTCCCAACATCAGAGTCTTCTCTTCTCATGAGATGGCCAAAGGATTGGAGCCTCCGCTTCAGGATCTGTCCTTCCAGTGAGCACTCAGGGTTGATTTCCCTCAGAATGGATAGGTTTGTTCTCCTTGCAGTCCAGGGGACTCTCAAGAGTCCCTTGTCATACTACTCCAGCAATTAAGAAGTTTTTCCCAATATTCAACCAAAATCCGGCTTCCTGTAACTTGAGCCCTTCATTGTGTGTCCTCCACTCTGGGATGATGGAGAACAGATCCTGCCCGTCCTCTGGAGGACTACCTTTCAAGTCTTTGAAGAGTGCTCTCCCCTCTCCCCTCTGCCTTCTTCTCCCAAGGCTAAGCATGCACATTTCTTTCAGTCCATCCCCACAGGGCTTGATTTCCAGTCACCCTGAACCTCCTGGTCACCCCCCCTTTGAACTTGCTCCAGCTTGCCGGCAGCCTTCTGCAACCTCTGTGCTCCTTCTCTCTATTTGTGTGTTGCAGCTGGCAGTATCCTGATGCCGATTTGAGTTTGTGTAAAAAAAAAAATTGAAGAGGGAAGGGTAGCTAACATGGGAGTCTGTGAAATGCCTGCTTTGTTCCTAAGAGGCTGTTACTTCCTAGGACTGGAACACATGAGTGACAAGCAGAAGCTTCCTGGTTAATCTTTTGGTATTTTCAGATCAAGGGTCTCGGGTGTTAGGCCTGGGAAAACGGGGGCTCAGCCTCCCCAGGGAAAACCTGTCAGTCAAATCGCTTCAGTCTGTTCTCCATTATTGTTAAGCTGGGCATCTGTGGCCATCAGGTGTTGGGTTGTTTTTTAAAACCTACATTTATTTTTCTTATACTTGAGCAGCCTGGTGTGGGAGAATTTT